CCAAGGGGGCCAGGTGCCAGGCAGCCACAAACTCACGGAGGCTCACTTGCTCGGAAAACCCACGTGGGACTGTCACTGCCCTCCCTGCTCACGTACAGGTGACATGGACGAGGAAGAAACAAGGGGCCCAGAACAGAAGGCGGGGCCCCTGCAGCAGCGAGCGCTGTGAAGGAGCCGGACGGGCAAAGGGAGAGAAGGAGGCTGGTGAGGAGGCCACTTGAGGTTGAGTGGCCTGGGCAGGTGGCTCTGAGGAGGTGACATGTAGCGACTCCCTTGAAGCCATGCAGAGTAGTGACAGATGAGAATGTCACTCTCTTGGCTCCCACACAAGAGCTCTGCCCCACACCCCAAGGCCCTGTGCTCCTTCATGCTGGAAAGGCCCGCACTTTCACGACAGGCTGCCCCAGGCAGCAGGTCGCTGGGGGCCTGGCTCTCAGGAATCTCCATGCACTCTCCCCTGCTCCCAGCTGCTCCAAATACTGCAGCCATGCAAGCCTCCCCTCTGATTTGGGTTGCTGACCTTTTCCTTTAAGCCCAAATGAAGGCAGAGACTGCCTTAAACACGATGTCCTTTCCTGATCGGTGGTGTCACCAAGGGGTGGCTGTGGCCTCCCCATTAACTGAATGTCCCAAATGCATCCACGGCCCTCACCGTGCTCCAGGCAGCCTTCTAAGCACTTTACCTTAGCATCTCAAACCTCACAACCGCCCTCCGGAGGTAGAATCTCTTACCATCCACAGTTTACAGACGCGGCAAGGAGACATGTAAAGAGCTCTCCCAAGGTCACACAGATAAACGTGGACCCAGCTTAGAGCCCACACTTAGAGCAGTGTCTGGCAAGCAGCCGACCCAGCGTGTTAATACCTGCTAATGCCTGCCTTGGGATCCAAGCAGCCGCTCTCTGCATCCAGCAGGGGGCACCAAAGCCCCCAGGCCCGCTAGGGGTGGCTGAAAGGGAAAGCCGCTGAAGAGGGGATCTTTGAACGCCAGGGAGCTGAGTGTGGCCCCTTCTCAGTCCTTGCCTCCCCTGCAGGGTCTGACCCTGCAAGCTCCTTGCTCCTCCCCTGCTTCTCTCAGGGGCTCCCAACCGGTTCCTGAAGCTCCGGCTCCCAGCTTGCTCTTTACACCACGCTCAGCCCCTGTGGCTCCCGCACAGCACCCCATCCCCGCCTCGGCTTGACGACTGCCCACTTCTAGCTGTGGAGACCCTGGGCACCCTCCCTCCTGCGTGCCCAGCACACACGTCCACCTGTCCCTTCTGTGACCCACAGACACACCCAACTCGGCACCTCCAAAACCAAGTTCATGGGCCTCAGACCAGCTTCTCCTGGGTTGTCCTCATCAGCCACACTGATCCTGTCCTGGGGCTTCCTCACCCTGTCTACCCTGCCTTCAGACCACCTCCGGTGCATCCACTTCTCTCCTTGACTCTTGTCCGGGCTGGGCCTTTTCTCCCTGGATAACTGTTAAGACCTGCCTCTCTTCTGCCCCCTTCTACTGGTCCCATAATAGCTACCATGAGCCTTCTGAAACACAAATCAGATGCCATCACCCGCCTGCGACCCTTTCTGAGAAGGCCCAAACTTATGAGTACGCTCTGCATGTATCCCCAGACCCTCTCTCGGGCCTCATCTCTACAACCCGCCCCCACTCCGTTCCTCCATTCTCCAGGCCTGCTTCCCCTGGCTCCAAACACTCTACCTGGTTCACACCAACACATTTCTTCCGGATCCCAGTTTAGGTATACCTCCTCCAGGAAGCCTTCCCTGACCCCCCATGCTGGATTTGGAGGCCCCTTCTCTGTGTTCCCACAGTTCTCTGGGTGTCCCCCGTCTTGAGGCCCGATACCGTTTCTATTGTAATGGCCTAAGTCTCTCTTCTCCAGGAGGTGGGCGGCGTAATTGAGGGGCTAAGAGTAGACGCAAAAGCTGAAAACTCTCTAGGTTCAAATCCCAGCTGTGCCATGTACTGGCTATGGGAGTTTGGGAGTATATTCAATCCCTCCACGATTCATTTTTCCCATACTGTAAAATGATGATAATTCTGACAATCATTGTATTAGCTAGAAGACTAACACCAATCTCATAGTATTGTTAGAGGACTAAGTGAGTTAATACACTGACGCTCTTAATGACAGCAGCTGGCACGTAGCACGTGCTACCTATGTGACTGATCATTAAATTGGTCCTCAAACTAGTTGCTTCTGGAGGGCGGACTCTGAATTTATTTGATCCACTGTTATGTCTCCAGCACCTGCTGCAACGTCCTGGTCCTGAACATCCCCTAACATTTGTGACATGAGTGCATCTTTGGTCTAAGAATGACAGCGCATGTAGAAAAGAAAGAGAACATGTCAGTGATGTTCTGGAGGCAGACTGCTCAGGGCTGGGAGAAAGACAGGAAAAAGAAGATGGCCAGGAAAGACCTGTGACTTTGCTCCAAATCCTGGGCGGCTCCGTCCCCGCCCCAGTCACTCACTGCCACCTCTCTCCACGCAGGCACCCCAGCCAGCATGGGGGACATTGTGGCTCCCTCGCTTCTCTCTCTCTCCCTCTGCCCCTCCCCACTGACTCCTTCCAAGTCCCATCAGAGCTGCTCACGTGCCAGCCTCCTCCCTCCTGTCTGCACCTCATGTCCACCCTAGTTGTTCCAGTTACAATTGCTATGCAACAAGGGACACCAAGACACAGTGGCATAAAATAACCATTTCATTATACTCCCAGGTTATGGGCCTCGGAGCTTGGGCAGGGCACACTGGGATGACCACAGAAGCCACTGTCCACAGTGCCTCGGTCGGGAAGATGGGAAGACACGATGGCTGGTGGCTGGGCTCTCCTAGAGGATCCTTCACCCACACGTCTGGCGCCTGGGCTGGGATAATTCCAAAGTGAACCTCAACAGGGACGGTGGACTAGAACGCCCCCCAGGGCCGCTGCATGTGCCTGGGCTTCCTCACAACATGGCAGCCTGCATATTCTTCCCCTGGTGGCTCAGGGCTGCAGAGCAGTGTTCCAGGCAACAAGACAGAAGGGGTGTTGTGGTGTCACTCTGTCACCTTACTGGGCCAAGCCCTCACCGGCCCGCCCAGACTCAAGCAGGGAGACACGGAGGACCCGCCTCTCACTGAGGGGCCACACAAAATGAAGCCACCCATGTCTGGTACCTGCACCACAGGGTAGCCTCCTCTCTGCTCTGTCCCACTTTGCCCAGCCCTCTCCATGCCCCTGTGGACTCTCCACAGGGCAGCCTTTGAACACACAAGTCACATGAGTCCCCCTTTCTTTGATCCCTCCAACGTCTTCCCGCCAAACTCTGTGCTGAAAGCTGAGCTCCGCATGTGCCCACACAACTCTGCGGGATCCGTATGCCCCCATCTCCTCCCTGGGGCCCGCTGCCCTTCCTTCTCTTTCTGGAGCAGCCCCTGGCCCTCCTGGGGCACCGCCCACCTCTGAGCCTATGCACTGCCTCCTCCTTCGTGTGCTGCTGGGCCCTTGGCTCCCGTGTCCTTCAGGCCACCTCCTCACATCTAAAATCAACCCTCCAGCCCCAGCAGTGCCTCTCCCATCACTCTGCTTTATTGTCTGTACTTGCCCCTGTGATGTCTCAAATGATACATTTGTTTACTTCTGGTCTGCCTCTTCCACCAGCTCCGAGAGCAGGACGTTGTCCTTGTTCCTCATAGTATCCACGGTGCCCACCCTGGTGCCTGGCACAGAGATCTGTGGAATGGGAATGAAGGCAAGAATAGTGGTTTTCAGGGAACGTGTATGATTTTTTTTTTTTCCGGCTGTGCCATGCGGTTGTAGGATCTTAGTTCCCCAGACGGCGGGATTTTAGTTCCCCCAACCAGGGGTCGAATCCGAGCCTCCAGCAGTGGAAGCGCGGAGTCCTAACCACTGGACTGCCAGGGAAGTCCCCACGTGTGTGTAATTTAGAAAAGCAATTCAGAAGTACTAGCCCTGGGGAGGGGGCTGTTAACTAGAGTCAGGCACGCCTTGTTTCCAATCTGGCGCTGCCATTCACCAGCTGGTGACTGTGGGAAAACACCTTTGCGCCCCTGAGCCTCGATTTCTTCAGCTGAAACTTGAGTCCAACCGCCCCCTAGCTCACTGGACTGGGGTGTCTGTCACAGGAAAGGATCAGGACCCCTGGTCAGCCTGGACGCTGTCCCCGGGAGCGAGGCGGAGCTGCACCGCCCGTCGCGCCCGCCAGGTGTCGCCGCGAGAGCGCGCTGAGCAGCCGGCTGCGCCCGGAGCCTTACGGCTACTCGGGCGCCCCACGTCTGGGTTGCGTGCGGGGCATCCAGGCCTCAGCCCGACTCCGACTTTCCTCTAGGAGCGGGACTCCAGAGGACGCTGTCTCACCTGGGCACCCACCTGCCTCCCCGCCTCGAATAGACGGGGGCGGGGAGGAATACTCTGAGCCGGTCGTCCCCGCTCCGCCAGTAGCCCTGCGTAAGGGGGCGCCCTCCCCTGAAGCTGGGCTGGAAGCCAAGGGGAGGGAGGAACCTGGGTGCGCCCTAACACCCTACAGCTCCGAGCGCTCGGCCAGGGGAGGCAGGTGGGGACGGGGAGGCAGGCCAGGGCGAGAGGGTTCTCGGCTGAGCCCCGATTCCCGCCAACCCGAGGGCAGTCCCTGCGCGTCCGCTCGCCCCCCAATTTACGAGTCGGCGTCGGGTGGAGCCCCTCCGGACTCCCACTGCCCCGGACCCAGCTCGGCGCCCCGGAGCCGGGAGGGGGCGCCGCGGGAGCGCGTGGGGCAAGCGCGAGCGCGCTTGGAGCAGGCGGCCCTGTCCCGCGGGCGCGGGGGCGCGGGGCGGGCGCTCCGGGGAGGCGGG